GAGTTTGGGTGGATCTATCCTTATTGGTCCCAGTCCCAGTAAGCCCGCAACTTTCCCCAGTGTCACATTTAATTATGCCACAGTGTCTTCCTTTCTGCTTCCATATTCCATAAGCAAAATGCATGACAAGAGGGCCTGGTGTGTCAACCTACTGTCTCTGTAGGCCTGAAAATGTCTAGTCCTTCCCTCAAAGTCCACTAATCCTACTAGTTTTCTTTGTTTTCTGGAGTTTTCCTTTATTAACAAAGAAAACAAAGAGCTAACAAAATTGTGTTCAACCTTTTCACCAGGCTCCTGGGTTTTCTGCTTCAGTCTGCAGGGTGAAATTCCAGCACCACTGAAGTCACGGCAGGTCCATGATCTGATACTAAGTTTTGTATCGTACTCATCACACTCTAAATCTGTGTTTTAAAAACTGTCCTTTTGCCACTTTCAAGAGACTTTTCATTAAAAACAATGAAAACCATATAGACTTTTTGTAGCTCTCTAGGGTAAGCATAATTAACTTTATTATGAGCAAATGAACATTTGGAGTAAGAGCTTCAGTATTCCCAGAGAACATTTTTTCCACTTTATTGTTTGAGAAACAACTGCAAAAAAAAAAAAAAAAAAAAAAAAAAAAAAAAAAAAAAAAAAAAAAAAAAAAAAAAAAAAAAAAAAAAAAAAAAAAAAAAAAAAAAAAAAAAAAAAAAAAAAAAAAAAAAAAAAAAAAAAAAAAAAAAAAAAAAAAAAAAAAAAAAAAAAAAAAAAAAAAAAAAAAAAAAAAAAAAAAAAAAAAAAAAAAAAAAAAAAAAAAAAAAAAAAAAAAAAAAAAAAAAAAAAAAAAAAAAAAAAAAAAAAAAAAAAAAAAAAAAAAAAAAAAAAAAAAAAAAAAAAAAAAAAAAAAAAAAAAAAAAAAAAAAAAAAAAAAAAAAAAAAAAAAAAAAAAAAAAAAAAAAAAAAAAAAAAAAAAAAAAAAAAAAAAAAAAAAAAAAAAAAAAAAAAAAAAAAAAAAAAAAAAAAAAAAAAAAAAAAAAAAAAAAAAAAAAAAAAAAAAAAAAAAAAAAAAAAAAAAAAAAAAAAAAAAAAAAAAAAAAAAATCAACAATTCCTATGTTAAAAATAATCATTTCAGAACTGATTTAATTGCTAATATCAAGTAGACATCTTATGATTATAGGTGAACAAAAATTCTAGTACCCCTGTTTTAATTGAAAGACATTCCACCTACAGTGCTTTCTTCTTAATGTGTGATGGGGACAATAGTAGGTTATTAGGAAAAGTAATACCACACTAATCTGATCTGATCTGTGTAGTTATTAGACCTAGCTAACTACAATATTGGTATTGATTTTATTACTAATAACCCTGCCACAATAAAAAAGATCAAATGTAGCATACAGAACTCTGTTATTTATTGTTTTGACTGCTTACTTGGCTTTGGGGCAGTGGACTATTTCTTCCCTTTTGAAATTAATGTAAACATCTCACTCTTTTCCTTTCCATCCTAATCTTCTCTTCTCTCTACCTAGACACCTGTTATTCTATTCCAATCACCTTCTGCAGCAGTATCTATCTATTATTTTTTTCCATTTTCCTCAGACTGCTTCTCCTTTTTGCTGGAATTCCCACTGGTGATGCCAGGACTTGCATGTTCTTTCACTTTGAAATCAACCAAAGAAAACGGCAACAATCATAGAGGCAGCAACACAAGACAGGGCTGTAGGGCACATGGGGTAAATGCATGGAGTAAATGACTACCACCCATAATCATGCTATCCAACAAAAAGAATAAATCCATGCCTTTGTCCATTCTCCTCTGCACCATTCAATGTCATTTTAATTTCAGACATGAGTAAGGAGCATGGCTGAGCAGAATTATTCCTCTTATGACATCTCCATGAATATTGCCACTGCCAACTAGATTGCAATGATATAAGACTTCCCTAGGGAAGATCTTTCAAAGGAGGTAGCACAAAAAGGGTTGAGGGGTTTCAGCAGTAATACACTTTAAAAAAATATCTTTCATACCTCTTTCCCACGTGTATTTAAGGCTGTAACAATAAAACTGAGTTGCAGTTTATCCCATATCAGTTACATGGCTTTGTAAATACTGTATATGTGGTGAACTCTGACCGTGGTGCACCGACACTGATGTGCTATGCATTTCAAGTATAAGGTGTGCAATGACCTTATCTCTTCAGCAAGCCACTAGTTCATGAGATGTTTCTAAGGAAAACTTCTGGAACTGTTAGCATGAGCTTGGCATAGGTTGGCAGGTGCAATGGGTACAGGTTTGCCAATGAGTCATTTCACTCCTGACCTGCAGTCTCTCCAGCAAAATGGCATTACACAGTTTTGACCATCTGCCTCTCCTACAACCAAGAGCATTCCTCACAACGCAAGTTGTGGAGCTGGGGCTCCTTGATCACAGACTAGAAAATTTTACCAAATTTTGCAATGATTTCTGTAATGAGGATGAACATCCAGAAGGGCTCAGATGAGGTGACCAGGCTTGCTTTATTTGAGATTGTACATCAGAAGTTCTAGACATGAAGTCAAGGCCCCTGCCAGAAGATCTATTGCTTGATTATTGGTCATTTTGAGTCCAAACCAGGTAATGTTGGGTTCTTCTACTTTGTTTGCCCTCTTTAGCATAATATTATCTAGACAAGGTCATTCCTTGTTAATAATACTTGATTTCTCTCTGCATTGCCCCCACACTGCCTACATCCCTTGTCTATGATGCAGATAAAAAAAGGAGGAAGTCAAAACAGCACAGCCTTACAGCCAAGTTAAAGCTCATAAAACAAAATGGAGTTTCAATTTTAATACAGATACACAGACCCAGTATTGCCAACCAAAGCATTCAAAAATGGTGAGAATGGCTCTAAAATTGGGAGGATTTAAGGGAAAAAAAAAAAAGTTGTGTTCTTTTTATTTGCTTTCTGGTTTCTTTAAGGTGCACCAGGCTTACATTTTAAAGCCTTTATGTACAGTCATGAGGACTCAAAGCTTAAAATAAGCCAATATTCTCATGCAGCCTCTTGATTCCAGAAGCTCAGGCTTTAAGAGAAGCATTAAATGGTACGAGACTCATGATGAAATGATGAGAGTACTGCAAAGGTACACTAAATCATGCTTTATTTCCACACATGAGGGAAAACAGAGGTTGGTAACATCAGACTGCTGAACTCCTGGGTTTAACTTCTTTCTGTGAATGAAGGGGAAGAGTATATTGCTGGAAAGGATGCACCCATGAAATAAATGTCTGTAAGAAGTAGGAAATGAAAACAAACAGATCCACTCAAAATTTCATTTATACTACCCTCAGTACTTCCTGCATGCCACTGCTAATTTATCAGGTGTCCATTTTGCTTCTCCTGCCTCACTTCCTCAGGAATAATGACAGCTGTAATGATTTTGACACTGAATTGTGGAGAAATTGGAAAAGAGGAGGAAAAGGAGATTGCTGAAATACTCCTGAGATCACCAGCAGGCTTTCTGCTCATGTTACAGCAGAAAATTGCTCTCTCATCAATTTAATACTTGAAGCAGTAGAGACCTATCCTAAAGATCAAAACGCGTTAAGTAATTTTGTCCATTTTATGGTTTTGCCTTGTGACTGCAATCTTGTCTAGGTCCTGCCATTAGCTATCATTAGTATCGTTCTCTCTCTCTCACAGAGAAAAGATAAATAGTAGCAATGAGAACCATACATATATATAAATAAATATAAATATAAATATAAAAGGGCGTCATTTTAGCCATGAATATGAAGCTTAAAGTTACTGTATCTAATTCCTGCTTGCTAGCCTAGACACTAGGAACTCAAAACTTACCAAGCACCAAAAATATTAGTTTAATATTTGTTTGTGCTCAGCTTCTTCCTTTGCCAGAATGACAAACAGCTTTGTGGAGGCATTGCCAGAGGCGCGCACACTTTTATTCTCTTTCTTACTGACTTTGGCACACAGAGGGATCTTTTCAAACCAATAAATGCTTTCATTTTTGTTTTCAGCGAGGGAACTTGCTCTATGGGGTGAAGTTACAATGAAGGAAAAAACCGAGGGTGGAGATATGGTTGTGATTAAACACTTCTGTTCACTTCACGAGCATTCAGGTTTTTCTGAAGATAATGGAAAGATGAAGTTGACTCCTGATATTGTCCCAAGTCTCATCAGAACTCACCTGGATGCGTTGGTTTAGGAAGCAGATGACAAACTGCACAAGAACATGCTCTCTTGCAGGGAAAAAAAGTGTCCATTCCTAGTTGTAGCTAAGCCTGCAAAATTAGGAGAACCACCATTCCTTTGGTATTTGGGGTTACATCCATGTGTGGTCCTGATAACATGAAAATATGCAAAACTTTATGTTAAGAATTTTAAAAAAGGTGCCTAGACTTTTCCATTTAGGTTTGGGAAAATTTTCAGAGCAGCTGTCTGTTATCCGAGCTGGTTCCTCCATCCCTAACTGCAGTGGCACAAATACTCTGCAGTTATGGCCATTATCGAGAGAATCTTCCAGAGGGCACAGGACTCTGACATCTGAGGAGAAATCCCTTATTTATCAATCTGTCCCTTCCTTATAGCTTCTTAATATAAATCAGTGATAATCTTAGCTAAGATGAAGGGATCCTTTCGAAACCTGATGCGCCAGCCCTGCACCCCCAGAAACTGGCACAAGCAGCAAGGGAGAGTTCCTACTTTCATATAGAAAGCCATATAGGGGTTAGGGCAGGGGCAGGCAATTATTTTGGGCGGAGGGCCACTTACTGAGTTTTGGCAAGCCATCCAGGGCCACATGACAGGCAGCCAGAAGCAGATAAATATTAATTTTCTAAAATTTTAGGGGCCCTGCAGGGGAGAAAAAATGGTGTGGGGGGGCCACATTTGCCCCCCCCTTCCCCAGGTTAGGGTCACAAGCCAAAGGGCTTAAGGGAGGGAACAGGTAAAAGGTAAAGAAACATCAGCACTGTGTTAACATATACCCAGTACCTTAATTTCTCCTTCCCCCCACAAAACTCCAGAAGTGTCCTCAAACAAGACTTTATTCCCTAGAGCACTCAAACAGCAGCCAGCAGCTGCACCCAAGTCTGAGTCCAGCTCCTTCAGTCCATGGTCCTGGCTGACTGAGCCAGTGAGATTTCTAGCTCCCCTGCACACTCCCCAGTGTAGGGCTGACCAGGTTCCAGGTGCATGCTTCTCTCTCTTCTCCTTACTCCAGCCTCAAGCCTCCAGCCTTCTTTCTCTTGCCCTTGCCCCTGGGGCTTTCTGGGAGTTTCAATCCAAATAACAGTCATCACAGCTCTGTAGACTGTCCCCTGGTTCCACCTGTTGTTATACACATTACATTTACATTACATGAGGAAATATCGAAGCATTGCCACATCCCCACAAAAACCTAGATATGCTGAATTGGAGCAACACTGAACAACTTCACCAAATTGTTCAAGTTTCATCAGGAAACCCACCGATCTATTGTCACAGTAGGGCTGTAATAGCTGCAGGACCATCCACACTTGTACCCCAGTAATATGCAGTGAGAACAAAGACAATGAGTTGGCACACCTTGGTACTGGCAACATGCCTTCAGTGGGCCCTGTTTTATACTGGTCCCTGTTTTATACTGCTGTGATGGATTTTAGATGCATCACTTGCTCAGCCCCAGGTGGGAGAAATTCCCTTTTCCTTTATTATTGAGGACTTCATGAGGTGAGGACCTGGTTCTTTCTACCAGCACACTGAATAAAAACATTGAATTCTGGGGTTTTGTATTTGCCTGTAAATATCTCAGTCAGATTGTACTACTATATATTTGATTGAAGATTAGTATTGCAGGATGTCTTTTGTTGGATGGATACCTTGTGCAAGCTTTTATTATTTCTTTCATAAAATCAATAAAGGCTTATGAACAACAGGAACCAATAATAATAATACATCTCTTTTTGTGTCTCTGTGTTGCAATTTGTCGAACAACTTGGAAGAGAAACAAACATGCTACAAAGAGAAAATAAAAAGCCACTGCTAATCCAGATCTAGTAAGCAGCTTTGTTTGGTCCAAAACGGTGCTCAGTAGTACTAAGCAAGGCAGGAGGGGATACATTAGTTTGCATGACATTTACCAGTGTTTATCATTTCACACAAAATGGTTGATTTGACTTATGAAATTTGGAGAAACTATTTTTTCCACTTTTAGAATTTTTTTCATCCACACCAAAGTGAGTGCTATATCAGGCATTACTGTTTTGCACAGCATTCAAAGTTATTTAACTTGGCATATGAGCAAATGCTCAGTATTCAGAAGACATGGTAGTGTTAGTTTTGATTATGGAAGGGTTTTATTTAATTTTTTTTTTTTTTTTTTTTTTTTTGAGGGACCTAATTGAGCCTTGAGAGGTTTCATTCCCTGCCTTCGTTTCATCACTGGTTAGGGCAGTTCTTGGGACAGACTTGCTGTCTGGAAAACAAATTTGTGTTGAATGGATGGTCCTGAAAACAGAGACTATCCTGCATGCTGATTGACTGCCTCTGCCCTAGGATTAATGCATGTGTGTAAATAAAGCAAATTATACTGAGAATATACTTAGACTCTGTGTCTGTGATCTCTCCTTACCTGGCAAGACAGTTTGCAAGGCCTCAGGACACCTGTAATTGGTGGTGTTGTTCTACTAAACAATGTCAGAACAGGACAGTGAGGTTAGAAGCAGAGGTGACAGCTGGTCTAAAAGAAAGTAGAGGCTTCCCTTCACCTAAAATTTCATTAGAAGGTCTCTTTTTACACATAGATACACACATACATTACACATAAAGTGGCAGACAAGTGGTGGAATCTTTAGCCTTTTCCCCTACCACTCTCCTCTGATCCCTCCTTTAAACTTAAACAGATCTCACAAGACTGGTTCTCAAGTTAACAACTGGAGTGCTCACTACTTTTATTTCTTAACATTTCTGCTTGGGGAGACCGAGTCCTTTTGTCTAAGTCTGGGCAAGAGCCATAGCTAGGTGACAGTGGGCTGGGAAAAGTAGTAAGGTCCCAGCTAGGAAGCCAAGAGAACTTCGTTTTATTTCATCTTTCACTCCGAGACCACCCTTTCCTGCCATGGTTTCCTTATCTGTAAGACAATACTGAGTGAACTTTTAAAAGCATGGTTTGGGTGTATTGATGCTACACAAGTGTAAAGTGAAGTATTTCTTGCTTATTATTAGTCTCTTACAAGGATTTCAGGGTGCCAAGGAGATGATCTAGGGAGACATGCCCCTCTGTTCTCCCTATCATTTTGAGAAGACGGGTGAAGAAGTAGATCCCCCTGTTCCCCATGGACACTGTTTCCACGAGGCCAGGAAAGTACTAATGAAGTCAGCAGGAGCTGCAAGGACTGAGAACCTCTAACATTCCTGGGGTGGGGGGGCGTACTGGGGCAGACCTTCAACCAGTGGCACCGTGTTTACACTTTCTTGAGTTTCCACAAGAAGGATAACTTGTACGTCTGCCTCCACCCCCTTACAGCATTTAGTTGAATTCAGTACCTAGGGGTCTCCGGGAAAGAAATGGAAACTCAAAGAGACACTTCTCTGAGCACCCTGACAACAAATTTACTTTGCCACTTCCATGCCAGACTGGGGCTAAGAGACAGAAGTACATTACTGTGCCTGCAGCTGGGCTCAACTTTTTCTTTTTTAGGCAGAGCAGGAAACATCATTCTCAGACTTTTTGGCCCTTGGGCCAGGCCTGCCCTATCATGTAGAAAGTGATATGAGAGGCAAGATATGCTTAGATTTAAAGCATGCTTGAAATGAAACACATCAAGCTATTTTTCATTAAAAAGAAATCACAAACATTTCCTGGGGGAGCATTCACCCAGATGCAACCTGTACTGTACATTTTCCCAAGTTTCTAGTATCTAGGTTTAAAAAGAAATATAACATTCTAATACCATTGTTTTAAAGGTTAATGTATTCTCAGCCGTAACTCTGAGCAAAGATTTTAGTCTAGGAACAATCATGCAGGGGCAGCAGGGGAATGACTAGATGACCTAGTAGGCCTTTTTCATCTCTAATTTTTATGCATCTATGATTCCTTTCCCATTTCTTTCCTTTTCCGGTTCACCCATCCAAGTTGATATTAAACCAAGGTTAAACCCACCTGGGGTTTTATTTGAATCGTAGCTGTTGCACTGAGGCTTACACATACAGAAAATGCTAGCATAGTGTCACTCTCTTAGAAGCTTAGCCTAATGTTTTTCCCTTCCATGCATAGTGTTATGCTGTTTCACTGCAATTGGCTGGGATCATTAACTGGCATTATCATACCAAAAGTGAAAAATCCTTTAAAATATTTCACTTCCCATACACCTATATCACAAATAATGGGGTTTCTCTAGGCAAAAAACCTGTCATTAATATATCAATGGGTCACTGCAGGCATGAGCAACCAGACACAAACTAACCAGGGGCCAAAGTTTCAATTGCTCTCCTTGCAGAATGCTACTAAACAAAAAAAAAAACCTAGTAGGCCCAGAATCTCTTTCAGTGAAAGGGAATAGTAGCACCTGGCTTCTCCTCTCTAGGGGGCTGTAAATTCCATCCCTCTCCAAAGTTTATCCAAAGCCTTCCCAAGCAAGATGCGATAGCTTAGCAGAAATATAATACTCACCCTACCCTGAATCCTGACCTGCCCCTTATCAAGCCTCCACTGCTTGAGCTCTTCCCTTTTTATATTCCAGTAGCTGGGCTTGGTAGGTTAATAAGCCCAGCTGCATCTGATCTACACTCTTTAACCCTTCCTGGTCTGCTTTCACAGAGATGACCAGAAAACTGAGGGTAGGGCAATGGCTGTGTAGACTTCAATGCCTACAGATGTCTTACAGGACCCATATGGAAAGCACACCCCACCACGTAATTATAGTAGTAGCAGAAAATATTTTGAGAGTGCTATATAAACATTATTAGTAATCTTCCTGCATTACAGAAAAGGGTTTCCTGAGAGCTTGAACAGTACTCTTGCGTGTCTGGAATTGTGTGGTGCTTGTTTTACCCACCAGTTTTTTAGTAGTATATATAAGAATGTTATTAGTCTTTGCTTTTAATTTGTAGTCAGGGTTTCTGTTTTCCCATAACCCTGCTGATGCTGGGAAATAATGCAACTGCTCCTACAGACACAGAGGAGAAACCAGGCTAAATCCTTCATTAATTCAGGCTGAGCACTCTGTTCTCTGTATGTAGCCAAAATTATGGCAGCTTTCTAATGTCATAGAACTTTGGACATCACCCAAAACCAAATGGTTGCTGCAGTGACATCATTGCCAGGCCAGTGGTATAAACCAGGGGGGATCAACCACATTTTGCAGGCCAGATTTGGCTCACAAAGGTGCATAGTCTAGCCTTCAGGGCTCCCCAAGGGACTGGAAAGTTGGCACTAGCGGGGCAGTGCCAACCATAATAGCTGCCACATTTCCAGACCCATGGGCAGTCCTGTGGATTAGATAACATGGCACTGTGTGCCAGATTGTGCCAGTACACAGCTGGATCTGAGTGCACAGGATTGGGCTGCCACAGGATCAGGCCTGTGTGGGATTGAGCCAGTGTGCTGCTGGATTGGGTTGGTGCGTGGCTGGATCTGACTGTATGGAATTGGGCCCATGGACCAACGCCACACACCAACCCCATGTAGGCTCTTGCCTGTGGACCAACTCCACACACTCATCTGGCCTGCAAGGTCAGAAGGTTGGGTGGCACTGGTATAAACCAACAGGAAGCCCAGACAGCTCCCTGGGCTGGGAAGGGGAGAGGAATTGTTTTCTTTTCTTCATTTCTTTTCATGTCTTTAAAGATGCACTGATGACTTTCATAGCCATAACCAAAGCCAGTACTGAGGGAAGAAGTTTGATTAAAGGATGTTGATTTCAAATATACCAATATTATTTTAAACTTCTCTTAGTCACTGGTTCATTATTGCTTGCTTGGTTATGACCACAGTTCCATCTTTTGGACTACCCCTGCACCTTCTGAAGGTACTTAGTCTCTTTAGGGAGATCTTTAGTAAGTAGTGAAAAAGACAATTGCAGCCTGTTGCATGGCTCTTAGTAAGGCCCCACTTTCTCAATCCCCAGCTGCAACAGTGGGTATAAATCAAATCCCTGTAATGTTTTAGGTCTGGATCTCTTTTGAGTGGAGAATGTATTGTGCCTAGTTCTGCGGTAGCTTTTCTATGAGGACTATAATTAATTCATTTCAGCTAAGACTCATACTACTGGTTGGAAGTAAATCGATTTCCTAACAATGAGCTCTGTTAGATAGTGGAACAGTGTCTTCAAAGACCTAGAGGCACCATTGTTCCCAGTGTCACACAACACTGAACTGGAACGATGCTGCTCTGAGATCTGATGGGTTGAGTGGATCTGATTTATCTAAGGCAGAATCCTATTTTACTTTATGAACTCAAATGGCAGTTTCCCAGCCACATAACCGGCATTTTTGGCACTTATGCACAGTTTGTGATTCTGTTCCTGGAGCTAGACTCATAAACATGGCTACTCAGCATGTGCAATATGCTGCATGCAGGTATGCAGTTCCACATGTGCGTACTTGAGTGTAAGTCTCAAAATTGTAGCCTTGCAAAAAACAGATGGAGGAAGAGAAGCTTCCCATGCTTTAGCCCAAGAGTCAAGTTGTTTTGGGTGCTTGCCCAGGAAATAGGAGATGAAGGTTCTAGGCTTCCTTCCTCCACAGAGTGTGTGAATGTGCAACTCTAACTTCCTATCTCAGCACTGTAACCACCAGGCCACAGGTTAGGCATTGTTCAGGCCCTTCTCCAGCCCTCCTCTTGAAGCTGAGTCATGGCATTTTACAATTACTATTTAAGGGCCTTCCTGGGGGGGGGAAATCAGGGCAACCATCCTGGGCCCCACACTTTGGGGGGCCCCACGGAGCTGGGCAGAGCAGCGCAGCAACTCTACACTGCTGCTGGCTTCACGTCCAGCTGCTCAGTACCTGCCCACCCGCTGCCGAATCCACCGCTAAGTCTGGAGTGTCCAGCTGCTCCCCATCCCCCACCACTGAATCTGCCGCCAGCTTCCCCACCTGCATGCAGCCTATTGCACATGCTGAGTAGCCATGTTTATGAGTCTAGCTCCAGGAACAGAATCACAAACTGTGCATAAGTGCCAAAAATGCCAGTTATGTGGCTGGGAAACTGCCGTTTGAGTTCCTAAAGTAAAATAGGATTCTGCCCTAGATGAATCAGATCCACTGTTTAAGATAAACCTGGATGTTTGTACTATCAGACTTAACTGACTTAGGGTATTTTGTACACGGCATGGGGGTTTAATTCTCCCTAACTGAAGCGGTGTTTTTTTAAAAACACCACTTCAAGTTAGGGCAAAGTAAACCCACCGTGTCATGTACAGGCAGTCCTCGGACTTATGACACAATTGGTTCCAAAAAACCACGTGTTAATTCGAAACGTTGTAGCTTGGAACTGATTTTCTCATAAGAAACAATGTTTAAATGGGGGATTGGTTCCTGAACCAAGGCCCGATATCCTATTTTCACCAAAAATACCCCAGAATTTTGTACTTGATCAATTATAGATGAGTAATATAGCTACATTACTGTATTTATATCGTAAATAGCAAATCATATTGATTTGGAAGGACTTCTTTGAGGTGACTTTGCTGGACTTTTTGAAGGCCTCTTGGTTGGACTTTTTGAAGGATTCTTGGCTGGAGTCTTCTTAGGAGTCTTGGCTGCAGGTTTTTCTGGGGTCTTGTCTGCTTTCTTAAAGAAAGTGTCAAAGGAAGTTTGGACAGATGTACTCCAGGGAAATGAGCGATGCAGCAAACTTGTTCACTGTCATGGCATGGCATCGGATCAAGTGTTGTAAAGTCGAAACTGATGTCATAAAGTTGAAAAAGGGTGTTAATTTATAAACGTTGTAAGTGCGAAATGTTGGGAGGCCTGCCGGTCCCCCCATGTCGGAGCCTGACCCTTCCCTGCCTCTCCAGTGGCAGGGAGGGGAGAGTGAGCAGCTGGAGAGCAGAGTGGTCCTTGAGCAGGGTGGGGTGCTGGTGCTTCCCTCTGTGGCAGCACTGGCACCCCCCTAGGCGGCACCCACCAGCAGGCACATGGCTTGGGCAATCCTGGGGGGCACTGCAGCCGTGGTGGGAAACACCAGGCCCCCACACAGCTTAGGCAGGCAGGCAGGCTCCAGGGCCAAAAAAAAAAAAGAGATCAGGCTTGCTGCTTTTTTTTTTTCTTTTCTTTCTGTGGAACCTATCTTCCCAGGCTGCTACTGGGCTGCCTGCATGGTCTGCCTGCACAGCCCCTGAGCCCCACAGAGTCTGGTGCTTCCCTCTGTAGCTGTAGGGTAGGAAACTAAAACTCCTCAGCTGTGATTATTTTGCAGTGCTCCAAAGTCATCGGCTGTCCCAAAGTCAATTAAGGCGCATTACACCACCGAATGTGCTACAGCATTTGTAATTAATGCACAATGTGCTACTGAATGTGCAAACAGCAATGCCATTAAAGCGGTGCAAAAGGCATTTAACCTGCTTTAAAGTGTCATCTACAAATGCCCTTAGGTTAAATCAATTTACTGAACTTCTATTCCCAGATCCTTTCCAAATTCAAGTTAACTCTCAGTCCCCCAGCATCCCAGTATGTTTCGCACCTTTCCCTCAAACCCTCCCCCCCTCAGGGTGGGTGGACTAGCCTTGCCTCAAGCTGTCTGCTGCAGCTGAACAGGGAGGTGTGCTCTAGTGCTCCCTGACTTCTGGCCTGGGCCACTGTAGGCATGTGGCTGAATTTCCAGAATCAAAAGTGAATGTCTGTTCTCTTGCTTACTGGAGTAACCTGCAAAGATTGAATCTGCGATTCAGCCGCTGGCTTTTTGACTGTCTGTTCTTAGGCATACAGATTCAAATTCTCTCTGGGTGAGGAGGACCTAGAAACTGGGTCTGCCACTTCCTGGTCAATTGCCCTAACCCTCAGTTTTGCGGGCTAAAAATATTGTAAGGGGTCTTCCCTCTCTCCCAACCACTAGTCATGGGTTTTTGCTGGGTAGAATTTTATGACCAGCCTATGCTTGCCAGCATGCATGTACAGAGTCACGTACTGGCCCAGCTACTGAGCAGCCTGCTGTGTGCATACGTCCAAACTGTGTGTGGGATAGAATCACTAACCATGCACAAGTGCAAATATGCCAGTTATATGGTGGGAAAACTTCCATTTGGGTACATAAAGTAAAACAGAATTCTGCTCTAAGTCTCCAGATGCTTTGTATTATTATAGGAATGCCCTGCCTAAAATATTTATGTGGATGATTTCTGTTCATAGCCATCTGAACTGCAGAACATTTGCTTTTACTCCAAAAATCTTACATCTTATCTGATGTGGTCTTGTGAAACTTGTGTTAGAAAAGCAATGACTTTAAAGGAGATTCCTATGGAATCTGAAGAGGGCAGCCAACATTACTTGCAGAAAGCTTGGTTTGTTCCCAGAGAGTAGAAAGCCTGAGGCAGGAGTTCTGACTCAAGCACCACTGGGGAAATGGGGAAAACTGCAAGATTTCCACTGAGAGCTTTTGTGAGAGAAAACACAAGAGTGAACTTTTCTACCATTCTCCGTTTCTTTTCCCATTCTTCAGCTCACCAGGTTCTGGGGCTTTCTGGGGCCTGCTGTTTGTTATAAGTTCACATGGTGT